CCTCCAATCTTCTCTGCTCTCCTTTTGGTTTGTATAAATTGTCCTATGTCTTATGTTGGTGCTTCTTGTTTATTGTTTTTCTGGGTCTAGCCTTTGTCTTTCCCTCTGCGCGCTGTTCTTATGCTTAGTAAAGTTGGGTTCAAGCTGTAGAGTTCATTGTTCTGTGCGCTGGGTTTTCTGGGGGCCTGTGGTGGCAAAAGGGGCTGGGTGGGGAAATTAATTTCTGAATTTAGCTGTGTTTTCCAAGCGGTTTAGTTTTTCTTTGGACGCTTCTCTAATTTCTGGCTGTGCCTTCCCTTTCAGATGAATGAGGTGGAAAAATACCACCCCAATGTCCTTCTCCTGAGTTTAGTTTAGCTTTGTTAATTTATTTATTTATTTTTAATGAAGTTCTATTGCGTTTTTATTTTGAAATGGATTATAGTCTGTTTATAAGTGACCAGAAATCCGTACCATATTGGGCACTGAAAGCCTTCTACAGCTGACATCAGTTGTTCTGGAGCAATGCTGCTGCAGAATAAGAGACTTTCTGCACTTACCATGGAGTATTTGGTTTAATATTCCCCTTATTCCTTGTTAGTCTTTATTCTTTTTGGCTTGCCATAATGGAATAAAGTCATTTGTGTGGAACTTGGGCATGCCAGAGAGTTTTCATTAGGCTTCACTGCTGTTTGCTTGAAAGTCTGGAGGCTTAGAAAAAAATGATCTTTTTTGGACAGTGCCCCAAAAGGTCCAGATTATGATATGTTGCCATTTTGGTGCACTTTTTGGGGCCCTGCCCAGATAAGCTGAACTTGCCAGTAATGTCCAGCATGGAGAACGCATTCCAGCAGTTGAAGTGTCTAGCAGCAAGGTGGACTTCAGCTGGCTATGGAGACCTTGGCTTGCTGTGGAGAGGTGTTTGCACCACCAGCTGTACAGCCTGGGGACGCTCGTTCACTAAACTAATGGTGCTTCCCCAAAACTCACTTGTCTCATATGAAGGCACTTATGTGAATTTATTCGCGTACTTGATAAGATGACTTATCTTGAAGCTTGCGTGTACACAGTCATTTGAAAGATTGGAGTCTGTGATTATGCAAAGGTTGGAGATTGCTGGCGTTATCTACCGTGTTCCTGAGCGGAGAATTTTTCATGTTGTTCGTGCTGGAGAGCAGAAATGGAGAGGGACTCTGATGTTCTTGGAGAACGCCGTAGCCACTGGTGGCCCCAAGCCTTACAAAGGGCTTTGGAAAAGCGTCCCTGCAGAAGTGGGTGCTCACCCCGGCGATCTGTCACCAGTTCCTGCAGATGATGTGTGGGCGTAGAGGTCTCATAGCTAGGTTTCTTCGAAAATGGTGTCACAAGTGCAAGGAGCGGGTGAGAATGGGAAGCGGTGTAGGCAGAGCCCTCCGGAAGACGGAGTCCGGGAATCCTTCCTGTCCACGGCCAGAGCAGTGGCATGAGGGGTCATAGAATCAATAAGGTTGGAAAAGAGCTGTAAGATCATCAAGTCCAGCTGTTAACTCATCACCACCGTGCCTCCCATCACAGGGGAGCCACCAGCCCGGGGACTCGCATGAGTCTGTAACCCTCTGGCTTGTTCAGACAATGCTTAGAAATTGCTTTTGGCTTTCAACTGAAGTCCAGGAAAGGCCCTGGCTGACTTGCTTTCTCAGTCCGATTTCTTCAGCCAGGAGAGCAAGAGCCATGAGAAATCTCTAATAAATTATTGTAACAGTGACATTTCAGAAAGACTTCCTCCTGGTAGATCAGTTGGTTCTAGGGGATTTCACTACTTAGCAATTTTTTGGATGGGGCTAACTCGGCACCTGAGGCCTTTAACTCTCCTCCTGCCTGGTGTTCCCTTTGGCACTAAGAACAGTTGCCAAATTTGTGTAGTTCTAGGCTGTGGCTGTCACAGAAAAGCAGCACGCAAGCAGCCGAGCATCTACAAGTCTTACATCCACCCTTGCCGCATGGTTTTCGATGTAAGAGTTATGTGTTTTTAAAACCAGAAGAGCAATGAAGAGGAAGTTGCTATTAATATACGGCAGCAATGGGAACTGTTGGTATGGGGTCTGGTGAGTCAAGTGAAGGGTGCAGCTCTGTCCTGGTGCTCCTCGAAGTTTGCTTTGTGGGATGCTCTTGGTGCTGGATGGACGTGGAGCTTGGGTGTAGACAAGAGAGGAAACACTGAAAGGAAGATGACCATGAGAAGAGAGCTAGCAGGTGAGATTTTATAGAACAAGCTGAAAGCATCCCTTCCAAGGGCTGGGTCACTACTGACCCTGTCATCTCCGTCTGCTCCTCTGGAGCACTGTCATCTGCTGGAAGCCATGTGCTTATGCTCCTGCATATAGCCCAGCTTTTACTCTCTTAATTAGATGTGGCTTGACATGATGGTGTGGAGCTGGGGGAAGCACATTCAAGAGTCTGATCTAAAGAAAGTAACTGTTGGCGTCAGGAGAATGCTTTAAAGCCCCAGTTGTGATTGAAACCTGTTGCTTTGAAGTGCTGTTTATCCATTTCAGGAAGAGACAGCTTGGGTGTGAGTTGGCTCAGTGTCTACTGGAGCTGGAGCCTCCTCTGTCTTAGCCTCAGGATCTTCATGCAGGCTGCTTCTTTACCCGAATGTATCCTCATCCCTGGCTGGAGGAATGTGTGACATCTCCTGGTCTTGTCGCACACAGCAGTGCGGGCAGCGGAGAGGTCACTTCTTCCCGAGGACTTTGGAAACCTGAGTCTAGGAGGTTGCAGACAGTATGAAGAAGTCCACCTGCATGCGTAAGATGAATCTGTTAACATAAAACAAGCGTTGGGGCTCCCAGTAAAACCCGTGGAGGCCAATGTTTGCTCTGATACTCATTTCCCTGAGTCTGGCACTGCTTTGATCAGATCTCATTACTCCTGGAAGGCTTGAAGCTCGATTATCACGGAGTGGCTGCACTGAGCACAGGGAGCTGGTGGCCACGTTAGCTGCTGACTCCAAACTTTATTGCCATGGCTTCCTCTTCCTCACCGCTGCCACTGCTTTGTGGCCGTCTGATCCTCCGGACCCTCTCGCCCTTCCTCATGCCTGATCCTTTGCGTAGAGGTCAGAGGTGGGTTTTTCAACAAGAGAACTTGATGCTTTCACCTTGCCTGACTGTCATCGTCCTGGGCTACCACGGGGCACCAGTGCTGCATCTTGGACTGTTTGTGGTAGGAAGCTCGGCAGGTCCCAGACTTTGATTGCAGCCACGTGTTCGGAGATGGGAGAGGACAACACGAGGAGTTAAAACACAGAAACGTGCATGAGCGTGCAAAACTCTTGATTCTTCTTGCCACACTATAATCCAGTAACTGTCTGCAATCTTTGCAGTTGGAATAAGTCGGGATGCCTGACCTCGGGTGTGGAGTCACCCAGTCATTGTGGGAGCAGTGGGGTGAGGGTGCGGGGATTGGGGCCTGTGGGGCAGAGCACCCTGTGTCCTCGCTGGATGTGGGCGGTGCTTGGCTGCTGCTGTGGTGCGCTTACATCGACTTGACTGGTTTTGTATTAGCCAGGTCTGAGCTGTAGTCGTCGGGGTCTTGCATGAGGATGGGAGACCGTGTGAAGCAAAATAACCTCACCTTTATTTCTGGCTGCTGGTCCCAGCCCTGTGCCCAGGGAGCTGCTGCTGCTGGGACTTGCCACAGCTTGGGGATTTGCTCCCCTCTCCTGGGGCACCTGGCCACGTCCGATGAGGCTGCTCATTTTGCTCATGGGTTTATATCTGAACACAACCACCTCTGGGGAACCAAATTCATCTTCTCTAGGGTGTGCTGGGGAGGTTGGTGGCTGTCCCCGTGGGCAAGGGCCGGCAGCAGACCTCAGTACCCCATGCAGAGGAGCTGTGTTGCCCCATGCCAGCCTGCTCCTGCTGCACTGACATAGCTAGACCATGAAATATGTATAAGCAGGAGAAAGCACATTCCCTTGCTTTGCGTAAATAATTGCTGTGCTGCAAGGAGCGAGTGTTTAGTGTAATTACTGCAGGGTAATAAACAAATTAGGATGGTTTGCGAGAAGGGAAGACCTGCCTGATGCGATGGGGTGGCCTTGGGTCTCCCACTGATGCGGGTATAGGGGAGGATGGGGCGAGGGGACCTCCGTTGGGTGGAGGGGGAGGACGCAGTGGCTGCCTCGGTGACTTGCAAGGAAGCTCTTTCTGCTGGGGCGCAGCTGGAATAGCAGGCACTGACATTTGCTAGTCGGAGTTCAAACAAAGATCCCTGTATCAGCTTGATTAGCGAGGCACTGCCGGGGACACTGGTGGATGTGTCCTGCCCCCGGCCCCTGCCCTCCTCCGGTTCCTCTCCCTCTCCCCGCGCTTTGGGCAATGCCTGTCCCGAGGAGGAATTTGGAGGAGAGTGACTCGTGTTGAAAGTGCTTTGTGCTCGGGGCTGTAAACAGCGCATGGTTTTGCTCAGAGAAAGTACAGAGCTGCCACTGGCAGGGTTTTTCCATCAAGGCAAGGGCTGGAAACCTCCTGGCACGGAGGGCTGTGCTGCTGGGCAGCTGTAGCTGTGGGAGGAAAGTCTCTCTGTGGAGCACTCCCACTGTAAAATAAATAATTAAAGAATAATAATAAAAAAAAAATAGCAAGGCAATGGAGTAGCATAGCGGTTTCCCTGAGCTGTTTTGTTTTATTTGTGCAATTTCTGTTCCATCCGGCGCTTGGGTGGGATTCGGTCGTGAAAGATGCACATTCACCTCTCCGTGTGAGCATGGAGTGAGTTTTGGAGGCCTTGGGTATACACAGTTGTCTGTGTAATCAGGTTTTTTGTGAGTAACTGCTCCATGTGAGATTGCAAATCTGTTAACTGTTAGTGTAATTGGTATAACTATCAAAGTAAATGAACATGTATCTGTATTTTGCTTGTGTATTTATTCGATGCCTTAAAAATCAGGGAACTCGGACTGGTGACTCTGGAACGACCCTGCCATGCCCTGTCCTGCCCCATCCTGCTGCAAAGACTCCAATAGACCAGTGAAGTGCAATTTTCTTTCTTCTTCTTGCTTTCAGATCCGGACTGGGCATCTTACAGCCTAGGGATCTTCATCTGCTTGAATTGTTCAGGAATCCATCGCAATATTCCCCAAGTCAGCAAAGTCAAGTCAGTCCGTCTAGATGACTGGGATGATGCTCAAGTGGAGGTACGTGCATCTGAGACTTGAAACACCAGTGAGTTTGGGTTGCTGCATTTTAGCAGCAAAGCTGTAAAACAGAGTCCTTTCTAAAGATGCCAAAACAAACATGATTTCAGAAAGCATGTCGAGATAGTTCCTGTCTGGGAATGAGGTCCACGATGCTGATGGAAAAATGGTGTAGCCATTTCATGAAGAAGTTGTGAGGATTTCCCCCACACCTATAAAAATATCAATTAAATAGTGTAGGAATTACTAATTTTAGATTAATTGCCTTCTCCTGTTTCTGATGTTACCCCTAGTCTAGACTAGACGGTAGACTAGACCTCTAGCCTACTGCCCCTGCCCAGCTCAGCTATTTCTGTCTTTGTTCCGCTTGGCTTTGAAGACTCTTAAACTCACATCTTGAAGAACTGAATCCTCGCAGTATAAATTCTCTCTATTTATGCAACACACCTGCCTAGGTTTGTGTGATGTTGCTAAAGGAAGTCTACCCACAAAACCTATCTGCTTTCACTGTTGGCATCTTTAAAGGCATGAAGAATGCTACCAGTTATTGATCTTTATCTTGTATGTTGTAGATTTGAGTTTTTTCTGAAAGCCACAGCTCGTGGAGTCATGTGTTTTATGAGGAAAATAAGCCTTTGTGTTGCATGGGTTTTCCCTTGCCTGATTTTTTTTTTCTTTTGAGAATAGGTTGAATACGTTAACTTGAGAAGCTCAAAAAATGTGAATATAGTGAAAAAAAATCTTAGGGGGGGAAATAAAAGAAAAAGCTGATCTGCTTGTTATACTTGTATGGTTGGCATTTCATGGAATCATAGGTTGGAAAAGACCTCTAAGATCATCAAGTCCAACCGTCAACCCAACACCACCATGCCTACTAAACCATATCCCGAAGTGCCATATCTATGCTTTTTTTTTAACACCTCCAGGGATGGTGCCTCAACCCCCTCCCTGGGCAGCCTGGTCCAATCTCTG